GAATGAGTTTCTGTCGAAGCTACAAGATGACCTCAAGGAGGCAATGAACACTATGATGTGCAGTAGATGCCAAGGAAAGCACAGGTATGAACCAGGACGACAGTATAACAGCTACACTTAGGGGTTAGGTAGCCAAAGGCCTTCCTTGGAGTGTTATTGATGATTATGGATTACAGACTGTGACCCCCAAGGCTTCTACTTTTATCCTACTTCTAAGCAATTGAGGATTTAGGATTGGAATGATGGCTCATGATTAAGAGCACTTGTTCTTCTCCCAGAGGATCCAATTCTGGCTCTCAGCATCTACAACAGGTGGTTCACAACTGTAACCACAGCTCTAGCCAGACACCTCTGGTTCTTTGGGCATTTACAGTCATGCACACATACTCACAGTCACACACACATATTCACAGGCACTCATACATACTCACAGTCACGCACACATACTCACAGGCACACATACTCAGTCATGCATGCATACTCACAGTCTCACAGTCATGCAAACACACTCACAGTCACACACACATACTCACAGTCACGCACACATACAGTCACACACATATACTCAGTCATGCATGCATACTCACAGTCATGCACGCATACAGTCATGCACACATACTCACAGTCATGCACTCATACTCACAGGTACGCACACATACTCACAGGCACACACACACATACTCACAGGCACATATACAGATAACTTAAAAATGATAAAAACAAATCTTCAAAACAACAAAAAAGATTGGAGCTAGAGAGATGGTTCAGCGGTTAAGAGCACTGACTGTTCTTCCAGGGGACCCATATTTAATTCTAGCAACTATGTGGTGGCCTACAACAATCCATCATACCATTCTCAAGGGATCTGATGCCCAGTGTCCTTTTTTGGCCAAGGGCACCAGACATGCATGTGGTACACAGATGAATACTCATACACATAAAAATTTTTTTTTTTAAAAAACAAAGTAAAATATGGTACTCCTGTTCCATCCATTAAAAGAAAAAGAAAAAAAAAAAAAGGCATCAAAGTCCCTAGAACAAGAGTTACAGATGGTTACCAACCACCATCTTGGGTGCTGGGAATCAAAACTATGTCTTCTGTAAGAGTAACAAGTGTGCCGGGCGGAGGTGGCGCACGCCTTTAATCCCAGCACTTGGGAGGCAGAGACAGGCGGATTTCTGAGTTCGAGGCCAGCCTGGTCTACAGAGTGTGAGTTCCAGGACAGCCAGGACTACACAGAGAAACCCTGTCTCGAAAAACCAAAAAAAAAAAGAGTAACAAGTGCTGTCTTAACTGCTGAGCCATCTCTCCAGCTCCTGAATTTTTTAAAAAAATCTTTAAAATTATATTTACTTGTGTGTGTATATTTGCTTGCATGCATGTGTGCTTGTATCTGTGTGTACACAGAGTTGCACATGTGTGGAAGTCCCAGGACAAACTGTTGGAGTTTTCTTCTTTGGCCACATGGACCTAGGGTACTGAACTGTGGTCATCAAGCTTGGTGACACATACCTTTTCCACTGAGCCATCTCACTAGCCCAGATTTTTATAGCTATAGAACAAAATTTATAAAACAAGCATTTTCAATTTTTTAAAAAAGATTTATGTGTGTATTAATGTTTTGATTGCGTGTACATGTATTTCCCATGTGTGTCTGGTGATTGCAGAGGTCAGAAAAAGGGGATCTCCTGCAACTGGAGTTACAGATGGTTGTGAGCCCTCATGTCAGTGCTGGAAACTAGACCTGGGTCCTTGGCAAGAGCAACAGTGCTCTTAACCCCTAAACCATCTTTCCAACCCCTCAGGATATTTTTTAACTGCACTGGTGGAAATGTCAGGTAGGCCTCACATATAATGTGATGACATTCTGAGCTTTTGAGTTGGTGGAAGCTAGTGTGTATTAGTACATTCTAGAAGGGCTTGCCTAACATTCACAAGGCTATGAGGTGAGATACAGGTGGGCAGTGATGGCTATCGAAGGTGTGAAGACAATTTTCCTATAGACCTGTGATGCTCAGATTCCATCGTCAGTATTAGTTCTATTCAGTCACCTTTGTAAAATCCTTAACATAGATGTGCCTTTTTGGGGTGTGTCTGTGTGTTTTATTTTTTTTTTTTTTATTTTTTATTTTTTTTTTGGTTTTTCGAGACAGGGTTTCTCTGTGTAGCCCTGGCTGTCCTGGAACTCACTCTGTAGACCAGGCTGGCCTCGAACTCAGAAATCCACCTGCCACTGCCTCCCAAGTGCTGGGATTAAAGGCATGCGCCACCACCGCCCAGCTCCCTTTCTTTTTTTTCTTACTGCTTATTTTAAAACACACAGACACAGCCAGGCGGTGGTGGCGCACGCCTTTAATCCCAGCACTTGGGAGGCAGAGGCAGGTGGATTTCTGAGTTCGAGGCCAGCCTGGTCTACAGAGTGAGTTCCAGGACAGCCAGGACTATACAGAAAAACCCTGTCTCGAAAAACCAAAAAAAAAAAAAAAAGAGTTTACAAAGCCTTACCTTTTGGAGGATTGATAGTTAATGGTTGTTGAAAGAGAGAAATTTTCTTATATAGCCACTGATAAGGTAAGGTGCCCATGTCCCTATAAGCAACATTAATAAAACTGATTAGGTCACTCCCTACCTCCCAACAAAGAACAGGACATGAAAACGGCAATAGTTTTAAGGTGCAATGGGAATGGGAGGGAGAAAAAGACGAAAGTAATAAGGGGTGCATAGAATCAAGATATACTGTGTATATGTGTGAAAATATAATCAGAGCTTGTTTTTGTCTATAATTGTTATATGCTAATGAAACATAAAGAAAAAAATATCTTAAATATAGAAATGTGAAAGCAGAATGTGGAAGCATACCCTTGTAATAGCAACACTTGGGAGTTTGAGGTAGAAGCATGACATGTGTAAGTGTAGCCCGGGCCACACACCGAGACCTCAAAATAAGAGAGTTGAAGGCAGAGGCTAGAGAGGCAGGTATTACAGATGAATAAAGATAACATTAGTGTTTGGGCCATCTTTGACAGTAATGAACATTTGAAAAGTATTAAAGAGTTATTGTGTTGGGTTGCAGGAGGTTTGAAATGGACCGGGAACCCAAGAGTGCCAGATACTGTGCTGAGTGTAACAGGCTGCATCCTGCTGAGGAAGGAGACTTCTGGGCAGAGTCAAGCATGTTGGGCCTCAAGATCACCTACTTTGCACTGATGGATGGAAAAGTGTATGACATCACAGGTACACTTCTGACCTATAAATACTAGATCTAATTTCTTCATCTCATTTGCTATGAATGGATGTTTTTGGTAATTATCTCTGTTTGCAGAGTGGGCTGGCTGCCAGCGTGTGGGCATCTCCCCAGATACCCACAGAGTTCCTTACCACATCTCATTTGGTTCTCGGGTACCAGGAGCCAGTGGCCGGCAGAGGTAGGTGATACTTTTCTCACTTACCTACTATGTCAGTTGTATGGTTTCAGATGCCTTGCTTTCTAGGAAGTTTGGAAACTGACCCTATGTGTGGCTAAATTTGGTAGCTCACTGTAATGTTTCCTGCCTCATATTTTTTTCTCCCTCAGAGCCACTCCAGAGTCCCCTCCTGCTGACCTTCAAGATTTTTTGAGCCGGATCTTTCAAGTACCTCCAGGGCCGATGTCCAATGGGAACTTCTTTGCTGCACCTCACCCTGGCCCTGGGACCACTTCAACCTCCAGGCCCAACAGTTCAGTACCCAAGGGAGAAGCCAAACCTAAACGGCGGAAGAAAGTGAGGCGGCCCTTCCAACGATGACACCCCTTTTCTTCCTTCCTCAAATCAATGTCAGGGAGTCAAAAAAGGGCTGTGTACAGCACAGGATGGAATTTGATTTATTTTAAAATACTTTAAAAAGGGAAACATTTTAAATTGTTCACTCAGTACTTAGAGGAAGCCCATGACCTCTTCTCCCTCTTCCCCAACACCCAGGAACTGAATCTTGTTTTCTGACAATACCAAAGAAATAGGAGGTGGCTAGAGCAAAGAACTTAGGGTCTGGACCTAGTCTAGACAATGCGTTTCTGAGGTGTGGGAACTGGGGATTTCTCTGGGGTCTGTATGCCTTTATCTTATCATTTGCTCTTAGAGCAGATGAAACACACCCCCTTTTAAATGAGTGTATCTTATTTCTTAACCCATTTCAGGGGTCCCCCCCCCTTTACCCTGATATTCTAGCTAAAGGAAAAAGCATGTAGCCCTAATTTTGGAGATACAGAACTCAAGAGTGGAAACTGATTTTTTCCCCCTCTTTCACTTTATGGGTAAGCCACCTAACTTCAGGCTTGTTGTTGCAAGGATGGCCAAAATTAATTAATTTTTAAAAAGCAAATTTATGCCCTGTGCCCTTGGGTGAGGGGGAAGGATAGAGGGGTTCCCAGAGGCCCCCTTGTTAGCCAAGGGTTTGTATTTTTTTAAGTTTGTTCATATTTGTATGTACATATCTATTTAAAGCCAGGGGATTATCTTTCTATAAATATATAACTGGCAACTTAAATCTTCCTTCTCTTCTTTACCCATGTAGCTGGGAATCCTTTTCTGTTTTCTTTTGGAGATAGATCTTACTGTATAGACCAGGCTGGCCTCCAGCTTGCAGGGATTCTTCTGCCTCTTGAGGGCTAGGATTATAGATGTGTGCCTCCACACCTCGCTTGCGAGCTCTTTTTCTCTTTTTCTTTTTTTGTTTTTCGAGACAGGGTTTCTCTGTGTAGTCCTGGCTGTTCTGGAACTCACTCTGTAGACCAGGCTGGCCTCAAACGCAGAAATCCACCTGCCTCTGCCTCCCAAGTGCTGGGATTAAAGGTGTGTGCCACCACTGCCCGGCTAGCTCTTTTTTTCTTATTTGAGAATTCTTTCCTTGCTATTATCTGTGAGTGAAAGGTACCCCCTATTGGACCAAAGGAGTAGTGATTTTTTATAGTAAGTCAGCATTTTGTATTTTCTCCCAGCATTATGAGAATATCTCTCTGTCCTTGCTTATCAAATTTCAGCCATAACTGAAAGACTTTATTTTAAGAAAAATATACAGCAAAACAGAACTTGAAATTGGTAGGTTTAGAAGATGTGGAAAAACATAATCACCAGAAAAGCTGCCCAAACATTGATGGCTTCTTGCTAGATAGAGGAGAGTGGTAGGGCCCTTAACCTCATCCACCTTTCCTGATTCAGAGAATCTTGACCCTATGAAGGCTGGGCCCAGGAACCCCATTTTCCAATTTCTTCCTTCTTGGAGTTTAGAAAGGTTTATCTTATCTCTCAGGCTTCCAAGATACAGAAGATAGTGTAGAGAAGGGAAAACATTATATATTTGTTCCAGTGCCTTCCCTCAATGCCTGCAGAACTATCAACCTATCTTTCAGTATTTGTTGATTCCAAAGAGACGAACCCCATGGAACTGGGGCAGCTTCGGCAGCAGCACGCTGAGCAGTGAGGCAGTGTTGACGAGGAAGTGAGCAGCGTCGTACTTGGTGTAGAAGCTGGCCAGCAGGTAGCTAGGGAGGAAACACAGGGTGACTGGGGCTGGCCTCCCGTATCCACTCATGCCTTACTAGCAACTATTTTGAATTACTAGTTTTATTGCATGTAGTCTAAAACGATTCCAGCTAATCAATGATATTTACTATGAGGTTCAAGATATAATCAGAAGGAATTTTTAACTAGAAATTATAATTCAGTTTGTTAAGGATAAATTGCAAATGACAGCCAAAGCTGTTTCAACGTATATGACTTTTGAAGCCCTTTTTGCTTCCTTTCTCCAAGTCAGTTTTACTTTTAAGTATTAACATACAGTCTGCCTTTACCTTCTTGCTTCTTTTGAGACTGTAAAATCACTTGACTTTAGTTAGGAGTTTAGTTATTTTCAGTCCCTTCTCCTTTCCTTAATATCATGGAACCAGCAAGGAATGCTTGACTACTGTCTTGTACTTTATAATACTCTCTGTAGGCGCAGGACTTGTATACTTTATGTGTGTGTATAAACAGGTATATGTTCAAGTGTGAGTACACATGGACACCAGAGATTTTTTTTTTTTTTTTTTGGAGACAGGGTTGATTTCTGACTCTGAAGTGCAGCAATTTGGCTAAATGGGCTGGCTAGTAAGCCCTAGGGATCTTCCTGCCTCCAACTCTTCAGTGCTGGGACTATAGGTACCCATAGTTGTATGTGGCCACATCTAACTTTTACATACGTGCTAGGGACTGAACTCAAGTCCTTACCCTTTGTGGTAAGCACTTGACTAACTAAACCTTTCCCCTAACCCGAGTACCTTTTCCCCCTGGTTAGTAGAGCCATTTCTGACCCAGCATCTCCTCCATCCCAGACTCACAGGACAATAGGAGAGATGCTGAGGAACTTTCGTGAGGAGGTAAACTGTAGTCCATAGTCCATCTGTTCCCAATGTGTCAAAAGCCGAGCCTTTCCTTGGTCAGGGGTCTCAAAGGGTGTCCCTTTGACTGTATGTAGGAAGATATACATTGCCTGGGAAGAGGGAAAGGGACAGTATAAGGGGTAGAAAGTAGTCCTTTGGGTCAAGAATTATGCTAAGATTCCCAAAAGGAAGACATAAATTCCCAAACAGTTGGTGACTTTATTTTGTTTTGGTTGTGATAGACCTGGGTTGGGTACAGGGTGTGGTTTAGTGCTCACCAAGTTATGGATGACGTTGGTCAGGGTCCAGACAACAGGAATGCTGAAGAAAGGGATGCTGAGGAGAACCACATGCAGCAGTCCTACCAAGATGATGTAGGCCAGCCAGATGCCCCGACTATTCATCACTCGAGTGTTGGGGTTTACTTCGCTGTGTGCCACCCCCACATTCATCCTACCACAGTGAGGGATCAGGCAGGAGTCCAATTCAGTTTCCTCATTACCCCTGATTGAGTTTGTTCCCCAGTTGTCTCCTGAAAAGCCAAAATTCCCTGAAGTCTTGGGAATGAAAGGATTTCCCTATCATGCAAAAAAAAAAAAAAAAAAAAAAAAAAAAGGAAAAACTGAAGACTTTGTTAAAACTTGAGAAGATGCTGAAGCAGCTGGTGTGGTGGCTCATGCTTGTAAATCCCTGCACTTGAGAGGCTGAAGCATGAGGATTGTTTGAGCCTATCCTTGGCTAACGAGATCATTTCTCAAAACAAAAAAAAGGCAAGAGGGTCTTCGCAATGGCCCTGGAAAAGGTATTTGTCACCATGCCTAAAGACTGAGTTGGATCCCCAGGACCTATACAGTGGAAGGTGAGAACCAACTCCTGCAAACTGTCCTCTGACTTCCATACCTGCAGTTGTTAGCCTGTGTACTCACACAAGTGGTTTTCTTTTTTTGTCGTTGTTTAAAAAAAAAAAAAAGTCCTCACTACTATAGAAATATTGTAATTTTAACTCAGATCTTTACATTTCAACTAAACATGAAGCAGTAAGCTTAGACTGTGACACTTACTTGAAGGACCAGGGGAATCGGGAGTATTTTAATTTACTTTCTTGAAGAAGTTAATGAATTATAAAGAGGTCACACACATCCAGAATCCCACAAGAAAGCTATTCAGTTAACCAAGGGATCAATAAAGAAGGCATCGAGAGTAAAGCTACCTCTAGTCCCCATCTTTTTTCCTGAGGCTTGTCCATCCTGTCTCTCACCCGCTCGGCATTGTCAGCAGCCAAGCAGTTTCATCCCTTCGCTGAACGTGGGGTGCTCAAGAACTTACCAATTTTAACATTAGTCTAGGAAAGGGTCTGACCTCAGTCCCTCAAGAAATGAAGTCCTCCCCTTCTAGAGGCGGTTTTAGCTTTTAAGCTTCTGCTAGCTCTAAAGCCTAGTTTTCTTTTTTTAAAACCTGTTCTTGCCTATCCCCAAACTCTCCAAGTACAGAGTCCGCCCATGCTCCTCCCAGAGTCCCAGTTTCGCATGTCACTTTAAGGCTTTCTTCACGTGACCTCTCGAACTCAAGGTTGTCGTTTCGCCGCCCTTCCCAATACTCCCACCAATTTCTCTTCGTAACCTTTTCAAGTTTCACGCAGCCCTTACCTGTCAGCTTCAGGAGCCCCGTCCGGCTTGGAGCACAGCGCTAGCTCTTACACCTGTGGTCTCCAGGAAGTGGCCGACTTTCGCCCTGTCTGCGCTCTCCCTATTGGTGGAACAGAATCCGCGCTGTCCCTAATCATTGGTTGGTTACGCAATGGGGATGTACAATTGGTCGCCTTTTCTATCGTTAGGCAATGCAAACCCCGCCCATCCCTGGACCCACCTTTTCAGAGAGCGGTGGAAAGTGGCCAAGAGGCGTGAGAGCGACGCCGCCACTGACTAATGGGAAGAGCCGTTGGTGTGAGGTGGGAGCAAGAGTGACAGCGATTGGTTGGATGAGCCTACGCTCCTGAGGCGGGGGCAGCGGTGGGGTCTGGTGGAGTAAGGCGCAGCAAGATGGCGACCGAGACGGTGGAGCTTCACAAGCTAAAGGTACCGTTACGCTGGGAAGGCTGAGGTGGGGTTTTCTGGAGCCTAAATCCTACACGGGCCCTGCGCCGCCTTATTCCACGTGTTTTCCTGTCAGGCGCTTGCTTACACTTCTTTCCTGGCTCCCGTTGTAGTTTTATGCCTCCTTCCTTAGGCCTATCTTAAACTCCGTTTCTACTCAGTATTTTAATTGCTATTTTACCTGGTGTTTACCTGCTGTTATTTGTTCTTCTCGTTGTTTTATGATCTGTCACCCTTCCCTACCCGGCTGTGAAGCGCCTCCTATCTTTTATACTCCTTTTTTCATTTAATCTGCATTACGTCAGTGGTCCTTCCCCCGTGTCCCATGCTGACCCAAAATTATGTTTTTCTCTCCTGATTGATGTAGTCACTCCTCTTGTTCCAGAGCTGAACTTCCTTAGAATATAGTGGCATTGTTGCATGTTTACCTGAATATGTCTCAAACATAACCCAGAAATTGCTTCCAGTTAGTTCTCTTTTAACAAGGTGGGATTAAGACCCCGGACTCGAATTTTGAAACCAAGGAGAGGAGAGGCCTTAAGATAGGTTTCTTGGTGGAAACCTGGGGCAGAGGCATCTCCAAGAGGTTGTAAAATGGCGAATACATTAGCCTTAAAAGTTTTTCGAGTTTTCTCAGGAGGTTCTCGGCGTTCTGCCCTCTCCTGACTGTTTTACCACTAGAGAGAGAATGTGTAGGGTAGATAACTGTAATATTGGAGGTATATGAAGTATGTTTGGAAATCTTAGGATTTTGCTTGTCCTGTTTATCTTTGGGAAGGATCCCAGCTCTCTGGGTACGCGCCCCCCCACCCCCCGGTCTAATTTTGTTTTTTTTTACGTGTGTCTGTGTGAGTGTATGGTGCATGCATGCTATTGGGGGTTAGAAGAGGGTGTTGGATCCCCTGGAGCTGGAGTTAGAGGCAGTTGTGAGCAGCCTGATGTGGGTACTGGGAGTAGAATAATTTGGGTCCTGAAGAGCAGTAAATGCTCTTCACCACTGAGCCATCTCTCCAGGATGCCTTAGTGTCACGTCTTGGTGACATTCTGAACCACAGGACCCATTGAATTGTACGTTTTGGTAACCTGAAGTACTTTTCTTGTATTTAGACTTGCCCTTCAATTATTATTCTGTAAGGACAATAATTCCTTTTAAGAAGAATTAAGAAACTATGTTGATTATTGTTTGTGTTTCACAAGTAGCTTTACTGTTAGTTGTTTTGGTCACCTTATTCTGGGAATCTTGTACAAATCAAACTTAATAAAAACTGAGAACTGTTCATTCACTCTTTCTTCACTGAGGCAGGATCTCACTCTGTAGCTTTAGCTGGCCTGGAACTCAGAGATCCTACCTTTCTGCCTCCCAAGTGTCAGGATTAGAGGCATTCACTGTCATGCTCAGTTTGGTTTTTTTTTTTTTTTAATAGTTGCTTTTAATTATTGGATTGTGATTTTTAAAAAGATTTATTTATTTTATGTGTATGGGTATTTTGTATGTATGTATGTCTGTGTACCTGCAGAATTACAGATAGTTTTTAGTCTCCATATATGTGCTGGGTCCTCTGAAAGAACAGTCTGTGATCTTAACTTTTGAGCCATCTCTCCATCCATGAAAACGTTTTTTTTTTTTTTTTTTTTTTTTCCTTAAAAGTTAATAATTGGGCCTGGAGAAATGGCTTACTGGTTAGGACTCTTTCTTCCAGAGGAGTTTGGTTTCCAGCACCAAAGTCAAGTGGCTCACAACCACCTGAACACACCTGCTTCAGGGGACCTGCTTTTTTCTTCAGGTGTCTTCAGGCACCTGCTTCTGTCACACACACACACACACACACACACACACACACACACACACACACGGGCAAAGAAAACTTTTTTAATCTTGAAAAAAAAAAACCCTTAAAAATTGCTGCGTTTTGTCTTCCTTTAAAATTTGTAAATGAAGGTGCTTAGAAAAAGCTCCTGTAATTTAGTCTGTTAAAGTGACATTATTGTTTGAAAGCAAATGTGTTTCTTAACTGTTGGGCTTTCAGATTTCATGACTGGATTTTTGTTATTCTAGTCGCTGTTAACTTGATGTAGCTATAATGGATATCATAAGTTTTCTAATGATTACTTGAACAAATAAGGAAAAATTGAGCAACCACCTCCATTTTTTTTAATCTGTGTAAGTTATATAGTTCTGTACTGTTACACATATTATAAAACTTACACAGAAAATTCATTTTTAGGTGAAAGATTAAAAGTGAGTGGGCTATTCGGTATTCCTGTTTGTTCCCCCTTTGAAATCCTGAAGTAAGTCACTAGTTGCCCCATGACTTTCCTTTATGGAGTTCCTCCTTTCACCATACTAGTATTTGTTACTTCATAAGTTTGCATTTGATTGACTACCTCACTTACCTAATGTTTTCTGACCTGATTTCAGGTATATAGTCTTACGAGAACCCGAGGCACTCCTGAGGGTATAAGCAGGACTTACTCTTTAATCACATTTGCTTGTTTTTGCTTTTTTCTCTAGAGCACTTCTTAAACTTTTGGAGGTCACAGATATCTTTGAAACTCTGATGAAAGGTACGGACCCTCTCCCCAGAAAAAGGCATGTACAATACTTTGCATGCAATTTAATGGGCTCCACAAAATTACCTTGTAGCCCTGAGGAGTCCATAGACCTCTGGTTAAGAACTCATATAAATTCTGGCTTTGAAGACAATGTTAAGCTCTAGTGTTGACCTTGATTGAATAATCTGACCTTTTGGATTGACTAAGAGTTTCTATTTTATTTCATTTATCTTTGAGACAGGGACTTTGTATATAGCTCTTCCAGGCCTTGAACAGTAAGGATGGCTTAGAATTCACTGTCTCTGTCTCCCAGTGCTCCATTTAAAGTCAAGTGCCACCTCTCCTGGCCAATTTTGGGTTTTTAATGCTTTAAAAAAATATATACTTCCCAAGGTTGATGGTGGCACATGCCTTTAATCCCAGCACTCAAGAGGCAGAGGCAAGTGATTGTGAGTTTAAGGCCAGCCTGTTATACAGAGCAAGTTTCAGGGTGGCCTAAGTGATACAGAGAAACACTGTCTCAAAAAAACAAAAACAACAACAACAAAAAACAAATTAAAAAGCTCTTTTCAAGCTGGGCATAGTAGTGCATGTTTCTAGTCCCAGCACTCCAGAGGCAGAAGCAGGTGAATTTCTGTGAATTCCAGGCTATTTTGGTCTACATAGTGAGTTCCAGGACAGCCAGGGTAACATGGAGAGATCCTGTCTCAAAACAACAAAAAACAAACTCTTTTCTTATTTATAAAGAGAAATTGGGGACTTTAGTTCAAAGGAAAGGAATAAGTTTTGAAGTAGTAAGGACAAAAACATTTGCATTGATATAAAAGTCCATATCAAGTGCAAATGTCTGAAAAATCTGTGGCGGTATAGTGGAGAGAGCCAACAAGAGCTATAATCGTGTCATAGTGAATCGAATACTATTATAAAATACTTGTGTTATTGAAACATGAAGTATGTACATGTTGTTGCTAACAATTTCGAAAGTTAGTGAAACTGGCTATAAAAGTAAATTGGAATGGTGATGAGAGGGTGAAGTTTTTGTTACTGTTTTTTAATCTTTGTGTGTTCTTTTGTATAAACGCATGTAATCTATGGAAGTCAGAGGACAGCCTCTAGTGTCCGTTCTTGTCTGCCACCTTGTTTGAGACAGGATCTCTTGTTCCATGCTGCCTATTTGAGGTGAGTTGGCCTCCCAGCTTCTAAGGATTCTTCTGTGTCTGCCTCACATCTCATTGTAGGAGTGCTAGGATTACATGCCAACTCATCTGATTTTATGTGGGCAGGCCCTGCTGAGCTATCTTCAAACTTTCTTCCCTTTTTTTAGGTTAAGATAGGGCTTTCACTCTAGCCCAGACTAACCTTAGACTCATGGTGATCCCTAACTCAGACAAAAAAAGTTTTCTTAATGCCGGGCAGTGGTGGTGCACACCTTTAATCCCAGCACTTGGGAGGCAGAGGCAGGCGGATTTCTGAGTTCGAGGCCAGCCTGGTCTACAGAGTGAGTTCCAGGACAGCCAGGGCTACACAGAGAAACCCTGTCTGGAAAAAACAAAACAAAACAAAAAGTCTTCTTAAGTTGTATAAGCATCCTTTCTCTGTCTCTCCTCTCTCTCTCTCTCTCTCTCTCTCTCTCTCTCTCTCTCTCTCTCTCTCTCTCTCTTCACTCTCTCCTCCTCCTGTCTCTGTGTAACAGCCCATCCCCCTGCCTCCACCAACTCTCAGGTGTTAGGATTACATGAGGTGTAACCTGTTCAATAGGAAGCAGGAGTTAAATTAACTACTCAGTCACCTCTCTAGCCTTCAGCAGTTTTGTTTCTTATAGCTATAGCACAGGTAGAAAGAGCCTGCTCTGATCAATCTGTATTCTTTGGGCACTGTTGAGGATGGGGTCTAGAGGAAAGACTTACCCAGTTCCGTGTGTATTGTGATAGCCCTCCTGATTCAGAGGCCTTTCATGATCTCTGCTGGTCTCCTCATTCTACACTGTCTTACCCTCCAGCTTCCACGCTTGAGTTATTTCTTCAAAATGACTTTTTTCTTTATTTGGTATCATATTTGCTATGGGGCAAGCACCAGTTGATACTATTTATACATATTACCTGATTTAATTCTCATAATAACTCTGTAAAGTACCTCTATATCCTCATTTCAAAAGAAAAATGGAAGCCCAGATCCAGTAATTGATTAATTTGTCCTAGTTCTTATAATAGAAAAGACAAGAGTGACTTGTCAATCCAAGCAATTTGTATCCAAATTTCATATTAATCTTCTTTAAAAATTTCAATGTAAATTTATTGTGTGTATGTGTTATGAATGTGAGTTTGTGTGTGCCGTGGCATATATATGGACATCAAAGGACAACTTTTGGGACCTGTTTCTTTTCTTTCACAGTGGGGTCAGGTTGTCAGGCCAGCATGGTGAGTACTTTTTACCAGCTGACCTAGAGGAGGGTGTTGGAACCAGAGTTATAAACTGTGATAAGCTTCTATGTGAGTGCTGGGAATCCAGTTTGGGTCTCTGGAAGAGCCACTAGTACTCCTAGCCACCGAACCATCTCTTGAGCCCTCACATTTTTTCTTTTTTGGTTTTTTGAGACAGGGTTTCTCTGTGTAGCCCTGGTTCTCTTGGAATTCACTCTGTAGACCAGGCTGGCCTCAAACTCAGAGATCCCCCTGTCTCAGCCTTTATGTTCTCTTAAAAATTTTTTTTTAAAAATATTACATTATTTTAGTGTGTGTGCCATGCCATACATTTGGAGGTCAAAAGAAAACTGTCAGGACTCTTCTTCTACTACATAGGTACTTGGTTACTTAGATCATCAGGCTAACCAGCTTACTCTGGGAATCCCTGTGTCTGCCTCTCCAAACTGGAATTACAGAAGGGTTACCATGCCTGCCAGGGATTTATGTGTGTGCTGTGGGGTTGGAACTCTGGTCAGCAGAGTTTGCCCAGCAGATGATTTACCCTCTGAGTCATCTCTCCAGCTTTCTTGGTTGTTATAAGATGGTCTTGCTATGTAATCCAGGCTAGCCTCAAACTCTGTACTCTTATCTTAGCCTCTTGAGTGCTGGGGTTATAGCTGTGTACTACCTTGACTGTCTAGAGGCCATGTTCTTTTTTTTTTTTTTTTTAAAGATTTATTTATTTTATATATGCAAGTACACTGTAACTGTCTTCAGTCACTCCAGAAGAGGGTATCAGATCCCATTACAGATGGTTGTGAGCCACCATGTGGTTGCTGGGAATTGAACTCAGGACCTCTGGAAGAGCAGTCAGTGCTCTTAACCGCTGAGCCATCTCTTCAGCCCCCAAGGCCATGTTCTTAACTGCAACATTCTGAAGTCACTGCAATCATTCTGTGTAGATAGAAGCCTTACTTATTTCTTTTCAGTGTTTCTCAGTAAAGCATGCTTTTGACTCATTCTGTTAAAAAGCTCCCTATATACCCTCCCTGCTTGCCTGCCCATCCTACCCACTAAATATATAATATCCAATCATTGTATATTGACAAGGAAAAACAAAACAAACAAAATTGAACAAACTGCTATCCCTATTTCCAAATGCTACCCTGTCTGAAGAACTGCAGAAACACAGAGCATGCCTTCTTGTTGTGAAGTTTTCCCTTCTGTAAATATTTGCTTTCTAGCGTTGTCACTTTGGTCTTAGATCTTTACTTTAAAACCAGAAAGATCATCTTTCAGACCAGACATATTTGTGTTCTGATCTGCATATAAGATTTCTAGAGTTTTTCCCATTTACTCACCATAGATGAGTGTTATGCTTTATAGAATTTACTCACCATAGATGAGTGTTATGCTTTATAGAATAAGAATATATAGCTATCACAAGAGTTGAGAATGTAGCTTAGTTTCTAGAGTACCTGCCTATCATGAAAAGTTCTAGATTCGATTTCAAATACTGTATAAAACCTGTTATAATAGTGTACACTTATAATACTCAGTACTGGAGATGTAGAGGAAAGCTGCTTAAAAGCTCAAAGTCATCTTTAAGAACATAAAAAGGGGCAGCCTGGACTACATTACATTTTGTCTCAAAAAAAGGGCTAGATAGATGACTCATTGGGTAAACATGCTTGCCACACTAGCCTGACCTTCTCAGTTCAGATCCTTAAAACCAGTGGAAAGGCTGACACAGTGGTATGTCTGCAGTCCTAGTACTCCTGTGATGAGAAGGGAGGCAGAGGCTGGAATCCCCTGTAAGCTCTCAGGGCAATGAGCCTGGAGTATACAGTAGAGTGCCAAATGTGTTAAGTATGTGTATACCATTCTACACATGAACATGAACACAAACACAAGTATTTTAAAGAGTGTGTGTCCATCCTACTAAGGCTGTTACATAGTTTATCAGAGATCTGTAATTTCAGCTGTGTATAATTGACACTTATTTTAGTAGTAACTTCTTTTCATAAAACCTTAAGGTCCTTATCTTTTTGCTTGCTCTTACTATCTATTTTCATATGTATGAGTGATCTCCATGTATGTACACGCATATGTCCTTGGGTACCAGAAGTGGGACATGGATACCTTGGAACTGGAGTTATAATGGTTGAGTATCAGGTGGGTGCTAGGAACTGAACCTGAGTCCTCTGTAAGAGCAGTGAGTCTTTTTTACTGCTGAGCCACTTCACCAGCCCTAACAGAATGTTTTTGTTTGGTTTTGGCTCATGATTCAGGGTCTCACTATGTCATCCTGGCTGGCCTGGAACTAACTCTCTGTAGACCATTCTGGCCTCGAGCTCACAGAGATCCATTTGCTTTTATCTCCTGAGTGCTGAGATTAAAGACCTGTGCCATCACACCTGACTGCTTTTATTTTTATTTATGTGCATATGTGTATGTTTGTATGAATGTACGCCATATGCATGCAGGTGCCTGTGGAGACCAGAAGAGGGTTTTAGAGTCCATGGATCTGGAGTTATAGGCAGTTGTGAACTGCCAGACGTGAGTGTTGGGAACCAAATTTAGGTCCTCTGGAAGAACAGCAAACTCTTAATTTCTGAGCCATCTCTCTGTCTAGAGATGAACTGTTGAGCTAAATCTTCATTTATTTAAAAAAAAAAAAGTGTCTGTGTTTATGTGTTGATGGCAATATGGAGTACATGTGGCCATCAGGACAACCTCTGCCATGTGGTTCTCAGGGGTAGAGCTCACTTAATCAGGCTTGGCAGCAAGTGTCTTTACTTGTCGAATCATCTATCCAGCTTTCATCTAGTTTTTGTATGATTGAAGATTTGAATCTTAAATAGGAGATTTCACATATATACCTAGCTAACCTTGACCTTTTCTGATCCTTGAGCCTCCATCTCCTGAGTCTTAAGGGATTACAGGCGTGTGCTTGTAATCTCTTTGACTCACTCTCTCTACTTATGTATGTGGTGCTGCAGATCAATTCCAGGACCTCATACATAGCAAGGACTCACTTCTACTGATCTGTCTTGCTTTGTTTGTTTGTTTGTTTGTTTGTTTTGTTTTTCGAGACAGGGTTTCTCTGTATAGCCCTGGCTGTCCTGGAACTCACTCTGTAGACCAGGCTGGCTTCGAACTCAGAAATCCGCCTGCCTCTGCCTCCGAAGTGCTGGGATTAAAGGCGCGCGCCACCACTGCCTGGCTGATTCGTCTTTTTTTTTTTTAATTTAAAAATATTTCTTTATTTTTTTCAGATTCTAATATAGTTACACCGTTTACCCACTCCCATACCTTCTTCCAAACTCTTCCATGTACCCCCTTTTTCAAATTCATTGCTTTATTTTTTCACCAATTATTGTTATATACGTATGTCTGTCTGTCTCTCTGCACACATACCTAAATACATTAGTACAACGTGCTCAGTCTGTATGATGCTACTTGTATGTGTGTTTTTAGGGCTGAGTTTTTGTTATTGATAATGAGTTTTATGCTCCTCTCTGGAGAAAACTGTTTCTCCCACTCTCAGGATTCCTTAGTTGTGTGTGTGTGTGTGTGTGTGTTTGTGTGTGTGTGTGGTGTTCAGGCTCCTGGGCTTGTGGGGGGCCCCGCCCCCGTATTAGAGTGTTTATTGTTGCCTTTGTTAGGCAGTAAACATCTTTTTTAAATTATATGTCTTGTGTAGAGGTTAAGTTCCCTGTAGCTGGAGTCACGGGCAGTCTGATACTCCTGATGTGGGCGTCTTCTTTAGTTTTGTCAGTTACCCATCACTAGCCCTTCTATAGCCTGTAAGATTGGTAAGTATACATTTTTACTGATTTAAAAAAAGTGTGTGTCTGGTAGAAATGGAGACCGATTGTGAAGTAAAAGGAATGCACTCCTGAGCATGGAATGGGTTAGAGAACTGGGATAAGTCCATAGCTCAAAAGCCCTGATTCTCCAGTGTTATGGCCCCCTTGTAAGTCACTTACATAGGAGTCACCTGCTCTTACATTGTATATCATGTGCTTTTCTCAGGTGTGCTCTGTCCCTTACAAGTAATCCTGATGAGGTAGGATTTCCAATCTTTTTGCCACCTGGCTTCTTTTATATGTTAATATTTTAAATGTTTTTATTAGCATATATTAATTGTGCATAAAATGTTTCTTATGGGATCTTTTATACATGTACATAGTGAATTTTGATGGTATTTAGGTACCCCCATCCTCTCTTGCTCCCTTCTGATTCCTACTAATCCTCTTCCTCTTCCCAACAAGTCCACCTTCTACTTAATGTAGGGTTTTGTTTTTTTTTTTTTTCTTCCTGTGACCCAAGAGTTTCATTAGGGTAGGGTTGTCTATAAGAGCACCAGGGAGACTTTCTTTATGGAAGCATGGGCACTTACTGAAGAAAATATCTCTCCTCCCCACATTGACCATTAACTATTGAGAAATCCTCAAGGAGGGATGGGGCTCCATGAATCCCTTGCTCTTGCATGACAAGGAGTTAATATGGTCCAATTTTGTGTAAATCTGGTGCAGGAACTCAAGCTGCTTTGTGATTTAAGAATTTCAATAGGGCTGTGGTATATATAGCTCTAGAGAAAGAGAACTTGCTCAGCCTGTTTAAGATTCTGGATTCAATATACAGCATAGTAACAGCAAAGTAAAAAATTAAACACCAGTCTGTGGGAGGGTGTTGCATGTCTTTGTTTGGTGATGTAGATAGAAGTGTTCATGTTGACATTAAGGCAGACAATACATAATCAATTATTAGATTTATAGATATGTGTGTGGTATATTGTAATAATATGTTTGGGATAATAGGTGTTTATTAGTCCATTTTCTACCATTATGACAAAACACTTGAGGCGTAAAAGAGATTATATATATTATATATATTATATATATTATAAAGAGATTTATTTATTTCCCAAATTTGGAAATGAAAAGTCCCATTAGCATAGTGTTGCCCTGTAAGAGGTGACATAATGGTGGCAGCAATTTTGAGGGGCGATTACATGGTAGGAACAAAAGCTGGAGGTTAGTAAGAGCTTAGGACAGGGTCTCATGGATGAGTCTAGACTGACTGTGTTGGTGTTGAACTCCTGGTCGTCTTACCTCCACTTTCCAAGTGCTGGGATTGAAGGCTCATACCTGGCCACTGCTACTTTATACAGGTTTTATATAGACCTGATGTTTGGAGAATTAACCTAAATTAATTCCTTTCTAGAATAAGGCCTCCTTTGATGACCTAAATACTACCCAGTAAGCTCCACTTTTTTGGGGGTCGGGTAGGAATGGACTTTTCTGTTGCTCTTGAATCTTTGATCCTTCTGCCTCCACTTCCCAACTGGATTAATACTGTATGCCACTGTGTCAGGCTGCTCTACATTTTTAATAGTCCCAGAACCATTACACCGAGGACCAAGCTTTCGACACAAAAACTGGGCTTGGAGAATCTGTCTTTAGGACACTGTGTTTCTGACTGAAGATCGATATTTCTCCCTTTCGTATGTTGTTGACAGTGTAATCTTTTAGAACTTCCCCATTAGTTATTAAAAAAATAATTGCACAAATAGATTATTATAGTTTTACTTAAGTGTGATGTTTTTTTCAATGTATGTGAGAAAGTCCTGTGGTCTTGGTCAGGGATAGCACTTGGACTTTGTGAATTGACCATCATTGTCTTTACCTCCATCTTCTCTTTTGTAAGAATGACCTCTTTTTTATTCATAGGTATTAAAAAAGTTGTTTGTTTGTTTGTTTGTTTTCTCAGCTTGCTGAACTAAAGCAAGAATGTCTTGCTCGTGGTTTAGAGACCAAGGGAATAAAACAAGATCTTATCAATAGGCTGCAGGCATATCTTGAAGAACATGGTAAGTACTTTGTGGAGGGAACATGATGTGAGTGAAACATTAAGTTTCAAGCTCTGACACTTTATAATTTAGATTTCATCCTTTCTCAGGTAATTGGTGATGTAAGGTCTAAATTAACAACATCAAGAAAACTTTTAGAGATGGCCATGGTGGCTCATTCCTCTAATCCTTGCACTTGGGAGGCAGAGGCTAGATTGCCTCAAGTTCAAAGCCAATCTGACTTACAAAGTAAGAGTCTATCTCAAACCAAACAAAACAAAAACCACCACCAGCAACAGAAAATACTATTGGGTTGATCCAGATGGGGTGATACATGCCTGCATTCAGTACCCAATAAGCAGAGGCCTGAGGATCAGGTGTTTGAAGCCAGCCTAGGCTACAGATTGAGTTCTAGGTTAGCTAGAGCTACATAGTGAGATTCTGCCCCCCCCCCCCAAAAAAAAGTAGGTGTGTGTGTATTAACATTTTTATTTGTTTTATACTAAAGAGATTGGATCTTGGCACATTGCCTACCTGGATGTGAATGTTTTAGTATGTTATTTAAATATCAGGATGGAAGAGGCTGGAGGGATGTCTAATTATATATATTATTATATTAATAGCATGTGCTATTCTTGCAGAGGACCTGGGTTCAATTCCAAGCACCCACATGGTGCCTCATAACTATATATAATTCCATTTTGAGGGGATCTGATGCCCTCTTTTGGTACACATGATGTATATACATAGCATGCAGGCAAAGCACTCATAATAAAATAAAATAATGAAATATTAAAAAATTGGCCAGTCCTGTAATCCCAGCTGCTTGGGAGGCTGAGGCCAGAGAATCAACATTTGAGGCCCAGTTGAGCAACTTGGTGAGACTATACCTTAAAAAAAAATTATAATACTAATCACTAGTTTAAAAGTTGAAGGCTTTAATTTTAATCTGTATTGTAAAAAGTTTCATTAAATATGTTTGGACGGTCATTGTTAACATAGTTAAATGTTTATACTTCACAGTGTCAAAGGCAAGTAAGTGTCTGGGCCCTTGAAATCCTTAAACTAGTGATCTCTGGTTCCTCTTACACCTCATATCCCCCGATTCTACCTTGAGAAAGAAATAGCTACCCCCTTCATGTGAGGTGCATATTATTATCCCAGCTCATATGTATCTTTCTAATTTTATTCATTCTCTTCTAGAGAATTCATTCCCATTCTTCATTTTCCTTCCTTTAAATACTCTTTAGATATCCATTCTTAGGTATTTGATATATTCATCAAATATTTTTAGGGGCTGTCATTAGATAGGACATTTGCTGTGCAAGCATGAGGACCTGGATTTGAATCCCAGCATCCTGTTCAAAGCTGGATGTGCTCTCATAAGCCTGTGTGTGCTGTGGGTGGTGAAGATGGGAGGATTCCTTAGGCTTGCTGCTTAAGACTAGCTCCAGGAGCCGGGCGGTGGTGGCGCACGCCTTTAATCCCAGCACTTGGGAGGCAGAGGCAGGCGGATTTCTGAGTTCGAGAGTTCGAGGCTAGCCTGGTCTACAGAGTGAGTTCCAGGACAGCCAGGGCTACTCAGAGAAACCCTGTCTCGAAAAACCAAAAAAAAAAAAAAAAAAAAGACTAGCTCCAGGGTCAGTGTGATACTTATCTCAGGGGAGTCAGGTGGAGAGCGATAGAGCAGGACACTTTATGGCCCCCACATGTGCACGTGTACATATGTACCATGCACATATTCATACAAACACATAGAATTAACAAACAAAATAGGAAGATATGTTGCTTAATACATTTTATTTCCTATCATTGGTAAGGAATCCATAGCATTACTTTCACTTTCTTTTTTTTCCTTTCCTTTCCTTTCTTTCTTTTCTTTTTCTTTTCTTTTCTTTTTTTTTTTTTTTTTTGAGAAAGGGTTTCTCTGTGTAGCCTTGGTTGTCCTGGAACTCAACTTTGTAGACCCGGATGGCCTCAAACTCAGAGATTATCCTGCCTCTGCCTCCCAAGTGCTGGGACTAAAGGTGTGTGCTATCACCACCTGGCTCTAATTATTATTATTATTATTATTTTAAGTTGTATATATGGGAATTTGGGAAGATGGTCTAGTAGGTAAAGGCTCTTGCTGCATAATCATGTGGTCCTGAGCTTTGGTTCCCTAATAACCAAGTGGGGTTAGGAATCCATGCTGGTGATCTCAGTCCTGGAGAGTGGCAGTGGGGTGATCCTGTGAGAGTTCTAGGTTCAGTGAGACACCCTGTTTGAAGTGCATGAGACTGAGGATATTAGAGCAGGATGCTTAACCTCTTCTGGACTCCATATACATATGTGGGCACCCTCACATGCATATGCATGTGCACGCGTGCACACATACACAACCTTACATTTGTATCTGTGGTATGAGGTTTTGTGGTTATTGCTTTATTTATTCCATTCCTAGAGTTGCATTCTGTGATATATAGCTACCACAGTTTGTTAGTTTAAGATTTTTATTACATTTATTTCCCTGTGTGTGTGTGTGTGTGTGTGTGTGTGTGTGTTTGTGCGTGTGTTTGTGCTTTAAGTATGTGCACATGCCATGGTGTACATTTCAAAATCAGTTGACACGTGGAGAGTCAGTTCTCTCCTTCTCCTTCCCATGTGGATCCTCACAACCATTTATAACTACTATAACTCTGTGATCTTGTTATCAAGCTTGGTAGCAGATGTGTGAACCATCTCACAAGCTGCCACGTTTTATAATCCATCCCTTAACAGACTCCTGTATTGCCTCCAAGCCCGAGGGGATTTAATACTATTAGTATGTAATTGTATAAAGTATTATGTTTTAATATATTGTTAGGATATATAATTCTCTCTTTTTTTTTTTTTTTTTTTTTTTTTTTTTTTTTTTTTTTTTTTTCTGAGACAGGGTTTCTCTGTATAGCCCTGGCTGTCCTGGAACTCACTCTGTAGACCAGGCTGGCCTCGAACTCAGAAATCCGCCTGCCTCTGCCTCCCAAGTCCTGGGATTAAAGGTGTGCGCCACCACTGACTGGCTATAATTCTCTTATAAATTACTTTTCTTCTTCATGTGCCTCTTGAGATTATATAATATGTGCCCAGATTAGGATTGTAATCATTGTGTATTTACAAATGTGTAAATACTTAATATGATTTAGCACTGTCAAGTTGTTTCCTAGAATTGCCCTTTAAATTTGTATTCTTCATTAGGACGATCAGAATTCTTTTGTTTTAAAACTTTATTTTTAAAAGATTTTATTTGAGCCAGGCAGTGGTGGCGCACGCCTTTAATCCCAGCACTCGGGAGGCAGAGGCAGGTGGATTTCTGAGTTCGAGGCCAGCTTGGTCTACAGAGTGAGTTCCAGGACAGCCAGGGCTACACAGAGAAACCCTGTCTCAAAAAACAAACAAACAAAAAAAAAAAACAAGAAAAAAAAAAGATTTTATTTGGGGCTAGAGAGTTGCTTTTGTAGAGGACCCAAGTTCCCCATTCCTACATGATAGCTTACAGCCATTTATAACTACAGTCTTGGGGGATATGATGCCCTCTTCTTAAGAGCACTACATACATGTGCACAGATACATGCAGGTAAAACACCCATATACATTGAAAAAAAAAGAATGATTAAAAAAATATTTTATTTTTATTTTATTTGTGTGGGTATATACTACATGTCTTAGGAGACCAGAGAAGGATGTTAGATCTCCTGACTGGAGTTAGAGATGGATGGCCAGGAGTAATGGTGTGGGTGGTGAGAAGCCAGCCCATGTCCTCTGCTAGTCCTCCACATCCTCTGCTAGTGCTCCACATCCTCTGCTAGTCCTCCACATCCTCTGCTAGT